TTACTTTTCTTAGTGTACTAAGTAGTTTAACTGTCATTGTCACTCCGAAATTTCTGTCCTACGAACATCAAAGGTACCGACAAAGCTTTCGCCATAGATTAAGTATATATAAGTAGAGATAGATAGGCAACTCTTTAATACCAAAAATTGCAATGTATACAGCGCCCTCTGCCTGGTTTAGTCATGAACTAAATGGGTAATGACGCGGCGGGAATTTTAAATGTTCAAATAAGCTTTGTTGCTAATTATTGTAGTAAAACAAGATTCTACAACATAATGCAAATTATAAAAAATAATCGACAATTGTTTCTTACATTAACATTAACGATTATTTTTTGTAATTTGCATTACACTGTGGAATCTTTTATTGCAATTATAAACAGACTGCACATCATAGGAAAGGAAAGGAAGAAAAACAAAATTCAAAAATTAAAATATTTATTTAAAAAATTAACGACACAATTTACAAGTAACAAAATTATTTCGTAATATATATAATATATATAATATATAATATATATATATATATATAATATATATATATATATATATATGTATATATATATATATATATGTATATATATATATATATATATATATATATATATATATATAGGAAAATTGTTTTAAAAACTTTAATACTAAACATATAATAAGCTATATATACAATAAAATTATTTTTAAAGACTGATATCGAATAAGCACACATGCTTTTTGATCGATCCTGACAAATTAGTAAATTTAACTTATAAAAATCAATCATAGAATTCTTTACACTACGGTAACATCAAGTATAATAGCGTTAGTTCAGTGTGTATAGAAAAACATTTTCTGTGAGTACATATTTTTATATAAATAAGTAATTTATAACTAAAGAATTTTATAAAACCGTCAATAAATAATAACAGGCATTAATCGACACCAATTTTTTGCCGTTAAACAACAACACACGTTACACAAATTCAAGTCCGTAGATTAATTACTCCAAGCAAAAGACTCCTAATATCCACGTATGTAAACAAACAACCATGTCATAGAGAAAATAAAATGGCGTTGTTGTTGTTGTTGGGAATGTTGCGATTTCTGCAGATGCGATGACATGCGCATTTGAAGAAAGTTTTTGGTGGCGTCACCTTTCTAGTTTAGTCAAGAATTAAAGAGAATGAACTGTCATTGCCATTAAATAACATGCCATGGCTTTCGCTTCTTGTTGGGTGGAGTATACTGTGCTTTAGCGACATTATTATATGTCAAATAAATCTTAATGAAAACCGTTTGTTCAAAATCTCATTTTGAATCTTGATCGCCTGCTCGCTGATAAATTTACCTGTGTAGAAAGCAGATCACGTCGATTGTGTAATTTCTTTGACAGATATCAATAAATACACATATGAATTGTATCAGAATATGGGAAACGCATAAAATAGAGGTGTTTGAGAGTTGTTCATGAAAACTAACTATTACCAAACTCTCAAGGGTAACCCATATTTTTTTCCACACTGTACATTGTTTGTCTTATAGGCATCATATACGTTATGAATCTAGTTTCTTTTGACCCTACCTCGAAGTACTACAGTTCTTTTATTGCTTAATATATCACTCGTACCAATTGGCCTTAATACCGCTCGAAGGAATAATTTATTTATTGCTGCATTATATATTTTTAACAGATGAGCAGTAATGAAATTATACTTATTTACGTTAGAAGGAGAAAGGGTGTGTACCGAGATTATGAAATTGTTGTGAAACAAATGCACAGATGAAAGTATTTTGCAAAGTTCAGGAAATACAGAAATGCAGACGCTGGAGGCTGACTCTTAAATTACTGGTATATATCATACTGGCTGATCTACTAATATAAATTAGACCTAACTCGTTTGTGTAGAATAAAAATGGTGAAGAAATTGTAGGTTTACGTCGTTTACAGGACACTGTTTCGTAATGTAAATATTAAAAACACAATGTATGAAGTACAAAAAAATACTAATTCTTAACCTTTTAAATGTTGCCACTAGATAGGATTAAAATTTTGACTTGCAATTGAGATATGGTATCAATGGAGGTCTATATATGGATAATATTTTGATTTTATAAAAAAATCACACATTTCATTTTTATTATACGGATTGAACGAAATAAATTCGGAACATACGAAATATTATGTATTTCGGCTCAATTCTGCTGTAGGTGGTTGACCAACAAAAGTTTGTCAAATAATTATATTATAAAAATCCAATACTTCAGCGGGCTGCTGGATTCTGAAATCATAAAAATTGAAAGCTACACATAAATCTACGATTTTATTATGCTGTCCAGGAAATGAAGCATTTCACCTCGAAATTTTTTCGTCCTGCGTGAATTGACTTGAAATTTTAACAGAAGGTAGGTAATAGCCAAGGATCAAAATCTATATCGAACCAAAGTGCGTCAAAGCCTTAGGGGTGGTTACCACGACATCTCGGGGGTGAAAATTTTTTTTACGTTTTAACTACAGGTTTCGATTAAAAAAGTGATTCTAAACAAAAAATATTACATGCATTTTTTTTGTAAAACTGATATTTTTCAAGTTATTCGCGATTGAAAGTAACAACTTTTAGACGAAAAATCGACGTTTTTAATCGATTTTTCGCGAATGACTCGAAAATGGTGCATTTTATCAAAAAAAAATTGTAGAGAACAAATTTGTAGCTTTTAAAAAGACAAATACAATTCATTTTTTAAAATGTTTTTGCGATATAACAGGAACCGAAATACGGCCCATCAATGTTCAGCGGTTTTCTTCAAATGCCAAATTTGAAAGATTCAAAGTCAAATATCGGGAAAATGATGCATTTTTGGAAGAAAACTCACACAACCTTTTTTAAAGAGCATAAATAGACCTATCATAAAAAAAGACTCTAGCTCAAAAATTGAGTGAGTTATGATGAAAATACGGTCAATACCTCATTTTTTTACGAAAAATTCTCTTTGTACATGTATTGTTAATACGTCCAAGAAGTTTGACCCATTTAAAATGCTTAGTTTTAGAAAAAGTAGAGCATAAAGCGAGAAACGATTTACAATTTCATATTTTTTTCCCTTCTTTTTTTAAATATCCCCGAAAATACTGAATATATGAAAAAAATAAAAATGTACTAAATTGTAGCTTTTTTAATGACTAAAATTTTCCTTTATTTAGATTTGTTGTACAATGAATATTTGGCGAGATATAGCCGTTTAAAGTATCGATTTACGATCAAGCACCATCTTTTTTGAGCCCTTTAAAAACCTCATTTAAAAACCAAGGGTTCCAAAAAGATTTAATTCACAGATCCTTGTAGCTCTTAAAAACTTCTACAAAATCGTTTTTGAAGAAACACTCTATCGTTAGAAATGAAGGAAATACGTTAAAAAAAAAAAAGGAAAAAAAATTTTTTTTCGGAAAATTCCATTAGTATAGTACAGTACATTTCGGGGCATAATAATCTACAAAACCGGTATATTGGGTAGTGGGGCGTTATACATTCGAAATTTTAAGCGTTCTTATTTTGAAATCCCATACAACAGAATAAAACATCTGCTCTTATGTCTATGGCTTGGCAATGAAAATATCAGAACAACAGATTAGGGATGGTATTCCAATGGGATGGTTATTCTTTTCCTGATGAGCATACAATGATGTCTGTTATAAGATAAAGCATAATATCCGATGTAAAAAACAGGCCAAAAATTTCAGAAGGTGAGTTTCCAAGGTGCTCCTATCCTACTTTTCTAGGTCTGTGTCACTGAAAGATTCGTCATCATCGTCATCACCTGATTCGTGCACTTCTACTTCTCCAGAAACGTCCTTGGGTAGACCTATATTATCTAATAGTAGTTCATTATTTTCCCCCATCCTCGTCGCTTTCATTGGCTTTGTCTCCAGAATCAGGTGTCAGAAGAACTATGTCAGTTATCTGAATCGGGCTGTTCCTTGAAACACGGAACAGGGACAAAACTCAAATAATTATATAAAAAATATGAAAAAATTAGCCTCAGCCTGGAAGCAACAAGGAAGTTGGATCTTCTTTTGGCTCCTCTAGTGGCGAGGATGCACCATGACGACGATTTTAATCGATATCTAGCAGAAAAATGAGAAGACAGAAACGTGGACATCTTATCTTGGTAGAAAGATAACCAGAATAAATTTCCTACCATGACTCGTTTGATTATCAATTCCAGCTACGTTCGTCCCAGCAGAAAGGATATTCTCCAGAACTGGCTTGACCATGAGGAAAGAAACAATCCGGCTCAGCCAGCATGCAGTGTCGACACGAAATGGGACATTTTTTATTTTTAGTTTTATGAAAAAAGTTATTCTTTATAAAGTTTTGCATATTGTAAAGCCCAAAATCAGAAATAATATAAATAATATATTTGTTTTTATACCATTATTAAAAAAAATAAATTGAATACTTCTTTTGATCGGGTGGTTGAAAGCTCAAATAGAATAGTTCTAATTTTAAATTGTGGTTAATTCTAATTATTAATTACAGAAATAGACTATAAGAGTAAACAATATGGTCAACTATACCACGATCACCAAATGTATGCAGGCATGACCTTTCCCAATAAGAAATTACAGAACCAGATAAAAACTTTTGAAATGGGAGTGTTCTAATCATGTTAATCATGTAAGAATAATCGATGTTAACAATCATCTACAAATATTAATTATAGGCGAAGCATATTAACAAAAGTTAATCCTTCCAAAGACAAGAATATGTAGACATCGCAAACTGTTATATAAAAAAAAGTTGCAACTTCAGCTTGTTAATTTTGAAGTAACAAACTTTTAACAAGTAAAAGAGGATAAAACTATTTCGATTTTAATAAAGTATTGATTTTATATATTTCTTGGGTTAGCAATCTTTATACAAATAAATATATGTTTGTAGCAATAAGGCTTTTCTCATTTATTTGTAAAAAGCTATTTACACCATTATAAACACAATATTGATTAAAATTTTATTTTATTTCAGGATATCGTTGAATACGATGACTCTTATTGTAGACAGCCCCACTGTGTACACAAGCCAAGGTGTTCCCATATCAGTAACGGGAATTGCACAGGTATTTGTATTTTTATGTAGTGTCTACAACGTAGAGTACCTTTTCTGTCGTCATTTTCAGAAATTAGTCAGGCATTAGGAAACGTAAATAGATTGACATTACAATAAATCGAATATTGTTTTGATTAATAAACTTTAAAATAGCTCAAACTAGTAAGTAAAATTTTAACGATATCTGAGTGTTATGTTGGCGTAAAAACATCCGTATTGTAGTAAGCGTTTTCTATCTATTATTAATAGTATGTACCAATCTTTGGTACTGGCTTTGCCTGTTCTGTCTCCACAAGAATATTATGAACATCTTTTTTGAACACTTCCTGTATCTCTTTTGCTCTTTTACTTTTTCGTTTTCCATCCTTGGTACATGATATCTCCATTGATCTGTATAATCACTTCTCTTGTCTTTATTTCCTATTGCACAGCCTTTAATTCTTCTTAAAAATCTTATCTCTGCTACCTGTATCCTGCCTGTGAGAATGGGTAGATATCATTTCGTTGTATTTGATGAAAAATAAATGTGTCAATATGACAGCTCAGCATTTTAATGGACAACATCAAGATAAACATGTCAGTAGGAAATATGTTTTCGAATTAGCTCTTTCACTATCACTTTCCTTTAGAGTGATTAAAAAATTCTAATTTTTGGTATACAAAGTATTGTTGCACTATAAATTATTTTTTTGCGTAAAAAAATTAACTACCCCCTACCCTTCCAGTACAGGATGTCCGACTCTTATAAATCAGATTATTGTCAAAAGTAATATAAATATTAAAATTTACTTTGAATGAAATATGGAAAAACAATTACTCTCCTTTAAAATACATAAATGAACTTTACATGTTTGACAAAATATATGTGTCCTGCTCTTACACCCCTCATTTTTGCATCTTGAGGATTCCTTTTTGTCATCATACTGTGGAAAATGGTGGTATCCATCAAATCTAAGGTCTTTTATAGGCCCTATTTCCTGGGTCCTGGACCTGTATCCTCGAAGCTTTTTGAAGGCCTGCCTCTTTTAGGAGCACGTCTACGGCAGATTAGAGCTTCGGCCACTTCTTGGCGAAAAGCTAACAAATCAAGGATTTCTTTCTTGTTTATTCCCAAAAGAACATCTTGAGTGCGATACTCAAGCCATAAATTTACCAGGGCTAAATCAATGGCATGAGTGATCATTCTCACAGTCCATTTCTTTGATCTGACATAGGATCGGTATAGACTTAGTAAGAAGTCCAACTTGTCGGCGCCGCGCATGTTACTGGTGTATCGTCTTATAGCTTCAGGCCTGGGAATCTGCACATATTCTTTTCTTGTTTTGTCCCATCTTTTACATTCATCCGACTCTTCAATCGGAATCAATCGAACTAGCGTCCAAGTCGTTTTGGAGAAGAACAAATTCCATTAATATAAAATACATTTAGTGCAAGAGTTAATGAAGATAATTATGACTGCCGCTTATAGTTTTGTGAAATAATAAGTGAGCGAGCAGTCACCACATTTTGATCAATGAAACCAATTATCATACTGTACAACTAAACAGGCGAATAGAGATTGCCAGATCAGCATTTATACGAATGAAGCCACTCCTAACGTGCAAAAATCTAAATTTGGAGATCAGACTACGTACCATTCGCTGTTATATATTTTCAATATTATTATATGGAGCTGAGACTTGGACATTAAAAAAATGCAATTTAAAAATAATCGAGGCCTTCGAACTCTGGTTATACCGCAGAGTATTGAAAATATCGTGGACTGATAGAATTACAAACAAAAAAGTACTGGAGAGGGTTGGTAAAGAAACAGAACTAATCACCACTATACAAACCAGAAAACTGGAATACCTAGGCCACGTGATGAGGGGATCAAAATATGAAATTTTGAGACTCATAATACAGGGAAAGATTCAAGGAAGAAGATCTGTTGGCCGAAGGCAGAACTCATGGTTAAAGAATCTACGTGATTATTATCAATGCAGATCGATTGATTTGTTTAGAGCAGCAAGTTCTAAAATAAAAATAGCCATTATGATTGCCAACCTCCGTAGGGAGACGGCACTCTAAGAATAAGAACAGTCACCGATCCACAGTTTCTTTTTAATATCTGTTTCTCCGATGAATTCAATTTTTTTATTAACAGTATTATAGTTTAATAATATTTTTATATTAACTGTAAACCTCCACAATTGCCGTTATTGGTCTGATTCAATCCAAAGGATTTTCCACGAGGAGCATACACAGCAACGGCAAAAATTAAATGTATAGGTTGCTATTTTTGGTGATCGACTGCTGAATCCATTTTTTTACCTGGCAATTTGGCATTTCAACAGGACGGTGCTCCTCCGTATTATGCTTTATGTATTCAATATTGAGACCATTTTCCACGGCATTGGATTGGGAAAAGAAGCAGCATCGAATGGCCTCCTCGGTTGCCAAATTTATCTCCCCTGGATTTTTTTTGTGGGAACGCTTAAAAAGTAAAATATAAAGAACACCACCCGCACCTTTAAGATTTATGCCAACGAATCGCTCTGCAAACGCTTCGGAATCTGAGAGAACGTTTGGAACAAAATCTTTATCATATAATGGACGCCTGAGATTATCTTGTCTATCTATATCTTTACTATTATATTCATAACTTGTATCGCATCCAAGTACTGAAAATTTGATACTTACTGTATTGTTCTATAGTTCTTTCCCATTCTCATTTGCTTGGTTCTCGCTGAAGGTTCCAACTAGTTGTGGCATTGGTAAATTTCCTACACGGGCGTTTAAATCTCCACAAATTAAGAAGTGGTCCTTTCTATTACATGTATTTAGGGTTCGTTGTAATTCTTCATATAATTGTGTTGTTTCTTCTGTTCTTCATTGCTCTGGTGTATATACACACAAGATAATTCAGTGAGATTTGTGAATACAGAACTTTGTTGTTATTCTCCATTCATTTACATATTTATAGCTCGTTCATTTGTTTTTCCATTTGTTATTTATAAGAATTTCCACACTGCAGCATACTCATATATTTTGTGATTTTATGACAGCTGTATCAATTTTCTGAGTCTTCAGTTCTTTATCAAGATCTATTTCTTTGTTTGCTATTCCTCTTACATTATATGTGGCGACTCTAAGCCTATCCTTTACACCAAATCCATTTTGTTCTTGACGCGCCTTGTCTGACTTTGTTTGGTTATTACTTGTAAATATGTTGGGAACTTTTGAATTTCTCCATCACAGAGTATTACTGTGTAGCGAGATATCTAAGACATGGGATTGCCATTTTCCGCTCTCTTAGCTTGCCTGATTTTTTGTGGGAGTTGTCTTCCTTAGCCAATTGTTATACTGGAATATCACCTTTTACCCTCTATCGTCTGCTACATAATGCATACTCGTTGTTTTTACGTCATGTTCCTTGTGGTTACGAGACAGGTTGTGTCCTTGAGGAGAGAGGACTGAATTTTAAAAATCTAATATAGCAATTATTAAACATCAATAATAAAGTCTAGTACCAGTCATAACTCTAGTTCATCCATTATAAATACGAAATTGTACTAATGTACGAAATTAAATGGTAATAGAAGCTAACGCCATTTCCACCCGCACATAAATCTGTAATTCTCAATGCTAGAAGAATAGCTATAACATTAACATTATTTAATCGTCCAATATTATAAATAACCTAATATGCGTATATCTATCAACCAAAAAATGTGAAGAAGACTTCTTACAAAAATCAATTGGAAAAATAAAGAAAACATTCAACTCCTTTAAGTCTGTATTTAAAATTGGAGAAGTATTAAATTTAGACGAAGGCTTAATAATTTTTCATATTCATATTCGATTTTATTTTAATATTGAATCAAAACATCAGTTATCTGATCAGATAGTATAATTTTTAAAACATTATTAGGTAAAAATCCAAGGTCAAAACGAAGAAATGCTCTTAGCCGCATGCGAACAATTTTTGGGAAAAAAACAAGATGAAATTCAGCTCATCGCCCTCCACACCCTCGAAGGACACCAGCGTGCTATTATGGGTTCCATGACGGTGGAAGAAATCTATAAAGACCGCAAGAAGTTCAGCAAACAGGTCTTCGAGGTGGCGTCATCCGATCTTGTCAACATGGGAATCACAGTTGTCTCATACACGCTTAAGGACATTCGAGATGAAGAGGTAAATATATCCCTTTTGTACGATATTAGGTATAAGTATCGCTAAAAGTAAAAAATTTCATTTTTTTGTTTTTGTTTGCTACAAAAAGGGCGCCAAGGTATGTTTATTGAGTATTTTTGTTTTGTTGTTGTAAAATGAAAGTTCATTTGGTTTTGTATAAAAAGTTTATGTAAAATAAACTTTCAACATTTGACTGAAATTACCAATTAGCCCTGTTCAATTCAATAGATCTACAATCAGATCACTTAAAATATTGGCTGTGCTTTGTGTTGCTTTATTGTAACAATAATTATATAGCTTATGGTTAGCAGCTTGTGATAATAGAATTTATTTTAATATATATCTTTATATTCACTGTCATTCAGAAAATTAGTTGTCGCTAGGATCTCTGTTGTCGAAAACCTCTGCTTTTCCAGTAAATTCATTTCGTATTCTGATAAAATAATCCAGCTTTTCTATTGTGTGTTCTTTTACAATAGCGCAAAAATAATTGCCATTCCGAACCCATGTAAATCAAACGACAGGATGGAAATTTTCCGCTCCATAGCGCCACTCAGCGTGATATATTAATTAGTCTATCTAGCACAATACTCGAAAATACCTCCATTAAAAAAAACAGGTTTCCACAAACATCGAAGCAGCACGAGTTAAGTCTTGTAACGAACTTCATTCGTAGTAAATGTTTAGCAGCATTTATAGATCTAATGGCAGCCGACGATATTGTTTGGAGACTGGAATTAATTTATAATTTGATCTGTAGGATCCTGCGGATGGATATTCCACTTCATTGTTCATGCTGACAAATAGAGCTTCCAGTTAAAGATGAGGAATTTGGAGAGAAAACAAATGAAACCAAATGATGAAAGAACAAATAATCAAATGGAGCAGCATAGTAGGCATAAGAAATAAGACAGACCATTTCTTTGTGAAGGCCAAGCTTAGAATCCGAATGTCAATACAAAAAATAGATAAGCAGAAGAAAATCGAAAGATGGAATTTGGAAAAATTGGAAAAAGAGAGGAAGACGATACTCACCAGAAATATGAAATAGATTTCAGGTTTTAGAAATTAATGACAATAAAAGGAAATATATAGGTCGCAAATGACACTCCATAAAAAAACTATTACAGAAGCAGCAGAAAAATGCATTGATGCAAAGATGAAAACAAGAACAAGAAAAATGGTTGGATCAAAAATGAGAAAGAATCCTAGGGAAACAAACAAAAAAAATATTGGATTACCTATCGAACCCGGCAGATAAAAAAACGTGCACAATATAATGGGAGAGAGCCGTAGCTAGAAGAATACTAAGGAGAAAAACGTTCTATAAGGAACTAAGACAACACAGGCTCGTATCTAAGGAGACCCAACTTTGTCAGAGATAAAAATGAAGAATTGCTCACCGTCAAAAATAAAATAATCGAAAGTTGGGCTGAATACTTTTAGTATACTTTAGCCTGGTATATGGGATGCCCGAATACTATCCGATGTTATGGATTAATACTCATCTAAACCATACAGTCTGTATGATATCAGGTTGAATCAATCACTCCAAACTATATACGAGTGTAAACCAATCCTTAGTAACATAGTTCCACTTAACCTGTACCGCACATGCAAACGCTGTTTGCATGTGCAAATATGCTTTGATTGAATAATATAACAAAATAATTGATAATCCTCAACTTACTCAGGTTACTTTCGCTAAGTCTGGTCAAGCGTTTCATCAATCTAACTTTGGCATACATGTTCTAAGGAGAGAAGATTGCGATATATCCATGCTACCATAGCTTACCATGCATCTTCAATCACAAAGACGGATTTGATCACGCTCGCAAGATTTGTTTAACAATTAATTGTCTCATAACAAACCACGGAAGATGTGTCTAGTCCATCCACAGAAAGCCGGTCGCAAATTCCCCCCGGTTTCCTGTGATTATGGAGCTGCTAGACATACGGTCATCTTCTTTTGGTATCATATTAGGTCCCCCTAAGGTTGGCAATTACATTGGCTAGTTGTTCACGGTTTTCAGATAATCGGGATAGTTGTTCGGTAGTGCGTATTACTGTCAAATCGCGAAGTTCTTAAGCCATGGCATCAGCTTTTCGCCAATTCCTCTGAGGTCCTCGGTTTTACCTTTCATACACATAAAAATGCCTATATGGGTCTACCAAAAACAAATATGTTTAAGAGTTAAGCGAATGTATACGTAAAGTATAGTATTGTTTCTGGCATATACTACCCCATATGTAAATGGGGAATTTGAACCTACCCCATATGTAAATTAAACTCCCTACTGTGATGTAAGTCAAACAATAAATATGAGGTTATAAAGCTGATTGCGTCTGCACCATTAACTATTAATGATAGCATACAGTGTTTCATACACATACTTCTTTCGTAAAATTGGTAAATCACCTTTGAACTGTCAATTGTTCGTTAATATTGAAATTGATCTTACATTTTTCAATACTCTAGTGGAATATGGACTATTTTTTTTTGTTGTTGTCTCGGGCTATTGATTAAATATGACACAGGAAATATAGATTCCGATCAATAAAAATGAGAACTGAAAAAAACTATTTCAGTAAAGATCCTACTGACTGCGCCAATTAAAATTTTTATTATTATGAGCTGGTTTGCAAAATACGACTGTGTGGAAGTAGTTAAGATTTGATTATTATATTTAAAAATGTGCACAAAGACCAAATGAATTTTCAAAAGCTTTGATGTTTTTTTACATAAAAGCTTTCGTTAAGTTTGCTTCACTGTTTAAAGCTTGGTAATGATCTTTTGAACTCATGTAGCATTCTGTTAAAGAGGTAAACCGTTATTTTATGTACATTTACGCAAAGGACGTAACTTATTTGCTTTTTCGTAAATAATCTACTTGATAACATACTTACTATAACATACTTTATAACAAATATTTATCAAAGAAACTAAAAATAGAGACTTTGCAGTAATCATTTATAAATTATTTGTAATGATGCTATGTTGATGTTGTTGTGCTTTCAAGTGTGACTTTTTTTCATTTTACACCTATTTTTCAATATATTTTTCAAGCATTTCAACATCCAAACCTTAAGAAAAGTGAAAAAAAAAAAAAGAAATACACGAGCTTCTTTGGTCACATACTAAGAAAAACATACTAAAAAAAGAGGGCCGGGGAGACGACGCGTATCCTGATTAAAAATTTTAAAGCATTGGAATTGAAAAACAACAATATAACTCTTCAGAACTGCTGCATACACAGTAAAATGAGCAGTGATGATCGCCAATGTACCTAAAAAGCTCCACTTTGAGTCCAAAACTATTTTTTGTTTCTGTGTGCATCAATTCGTTTATATGTGTAATGTGGAACTCTTGTTGTGCAATGGCCAGTAGAATCTGGCCATTTGCCTAGTCCTGAATCACATTTTTGCAATATTTATCCGAGGATTTTTAAATATATACTTGGTGACACTTTGCTGTGCTAAAGGTTCACCTATAGGACTCTGAGACCTATTTGGAACAGAGACAGATTCAGTGACCGAAGTGACCTCACTGCTCGTTAGCTTGACATTTATATTTTTAAAATCAAAAGTCATTCATTTCTGCATCCTCTTATGAAACATCTCTTCTTCCTTTTGTTCCAACGAGTTGTAACGAAATGCTGTTAAGCACAGCAATGCGCCGTGCTAAGGTTATAATCTCCCAGTGTTCGCCAGCTCGTTGGGGCATCGCTTAAGCCACACTTTGTTTCCTTTACCATGCACCCCCTTTTCACCATATTGTTACATCGGCTCCGCCTGTCTGGTCAATTGCAGATTGAGTATGGTATAAATATATCTGTATATGTATTTTGTGTTTGCTCGTGTTTGTAGGTGTCATGTTCAACAAATCTACATTAAATGACATATCTGCATCCATTATGTTATGTTCTCAGTTAATTTGTCTGTATTTATTTGGTCTATACTTTATTCAAACCTGTCCTTCTATACTATATACCCATGGGTCGTTCCTATCAGATGTTGGTATACGCCGTGTTATAAAAAGTGTGAAAAATACATGACGAACATACAATTTGGGTTCAAGGGTGCATTAGGTACTCGAGAGGTACTTTTTGCAACACAATTTCTCTTTCAACGATATAGAGATTTTATTTGTGATATATATGATATTTTCATTATCAAAAAGCATTCGATAGAGTACAACATAACGACCTGATGGACATATTAAAATCACTTGATCTAGACATCGGAGACTGCAGCTGTTAGAGTTGGAGATCATTTAAGGCACGACATAAAGCTAAAAAAAGGTGTTCTAGAGGGATGTATACTGTCCTCATTATGATTCAATATATATTCAGAGCATATTATGAACCTAGCGATAATTTATATAGATGAGGGAATACCTATAAATGGAGAACGACTGAACAATATAAGATATGCTCTATACTGTAATTTTTGTAGACATTTGTTATATTGCAGTTATGGAATGTCTGCAGACATTCTATAACTATTTATAGAATATTTTCTATAAAGTATGAACAGAAGAGTGACCATTCGTTAAAAATTTGTGAATCGTTGATGGCAAATAAAAAAGGCCCCTTATTGAAAGCTTTATCTCATATTTAAAAATATTTTTATACAGAAAAAGTATAAAAATTGATAAAATGTTGATGTTTGAAACCTCTAACAAGATAACATAATTTTTGATAAAAGTAAGTAAACAAGATGTACAATGCACCAGTTAAAGTTTTATTGTAAACATCATTTCATCTTTTTTCATTTGCTTAAAATTAGCTATGGCTTGAATTTTATTATATCTCTGCAGTAAATTTTTTTAGAATTATTTGCTTTTTATCGTAAGTATTATTAACAAGGACGTAACTCAATTCAGGATTGTTCCTACACAATTGCACAACTATTGCACCTCACTGTTTTACTTGTCACATTTTCACAGCATTGTCTAATTTTCATCTAGCAAATTTTTGCAAATGTGTGATTAATAATGC